CCCCCCCGTAACTCGTGTCCGAAAGGACGTGATGGGCCAGAGCGGAAACGGACTCTTTTCATCGCTTCCATCTACCGACGGGTCCGGCACCGTTGCGATGGCACGCCATAAGGATCGCCGCACGACCGCGGCTGACGGGGGCGGCAGGGGCGGCAGCGGCAGCGCGAGCGCAAGGCGTAGTGAAGGCGGCGTAGCATCACCCGCCAGCAGCAGCAGCAGTAGCAGCATCGCTTCATCTCCCGCGTCGGCAGGAACGAGGGCGGCGGCGGCGGCGGCGGCGGCGGCAGCAGCTGCTGTCGCGGACAGCAGCAGCACGAAGACACCGACGGGCGACCGCCGCCCGCCCACAAGAAAGCGGGGGATGCCCAAAAGTACAGGGTACGGTCGGCTCGAAGGCGGCGGCGGCGGCGGCGGCGGCGGCCGGCTCGGGCATGAGGAGTACGGGGGTGTCGCGGCCTCGAAAACGCCTCCAATTTCGAAGAGAGAGGCCAAGCGGGCGGCGACGGGGGGGTTGGACAGCAGCAGGAGACGAACGAGCGCTGGAGGCGGCGGCGGTGGTGCCGCTGCTGGCGTTACCCCTCGTTGCTTGTCGAAGCGCCGCGCCCGGCAGCCCTGCGGCCTCATCCCCGAGAGCGTGATCGCGAAGGTGACCACGCTCTCGGGGAAAATAACAGCCCAAGAACATTGTACCGTACCGTATGTCGGTTACGTAAGATACCACACACCCCCTGAACCGACCGATTGTCGAAAAGCTCGATTACTCTGCAGCACTACTAGCGGTGACGGTGCCGAGCAATGCGAGGCGTTGGGACTGTGTCTCCCCTAGAGCATTCCGAAAACGTGCCGTGTGTGGCATCCTCTTCGTCGTGGAGTAGTCGAGCTTCAACAGTCGGTACATGGGGTGTGAAACAACAGGCAACCCGGGGCGATAGCGTGCGTTTGGCCACACGGCCTGTGCACGGTGCGCTGAGTGAGCGCTGTGCCGCTTGCGACGGGTAGGGTAAATACCCCAGCACGGTAGCTCGTCGAGACTGTTGCTTTGTGTCGCTACATGCATTGCTGTTTTTCTTTTACATTCAATCCTGGTGGTTGATTGGGGAGAGGGACAAATAGGAAAGTCAGGGACAGGAGAACGGGCAAAATCGTTGTTGATTGCTGGTGCTTTTGGTTAGTGCTCAAGTTGACCCGCGTGATGCCCCCCCACCCCCCACCCCCCCGGTGTTTGCCATCGGGGTTGGGTTTTCGTCGCTTGGGAACGACGTTGGAAAACAAGCCCCCCCATCGGTGTTTGCCATCGGGGTTGGGTTTTCGTCGCTTGGGAACGACGTTGGAAAACAAGCCCCCCCATCGGTGTTTGCCATCGGGATTTGGTTTTCGTCGCTTGGCAACGACGTTGTGAAAACAAGCCAATTCACTTCGTGAACTCGGCAACCAGGTTAC